ATATTTATTTTCTTTGAGTTTTAGGTTTATCGGCGTCGATTTCTACCTAAATTTTTATCTCTCTATAACTATTAAAATATTTTTACTTAACCGCTAGAAATTAGGCTCGAAAGAGGTAGTTATCGAGGTCTTTATAGTATGTAAATAAATTTTGGAAGGTTATAACAATACATACTATTAAATTTATTATCCTTAATTAAACGGTTAAATTAGGCTTTAATAATTATTTACCCTCGGTAGAGAGCTATTAGTTAATAAAGTTTTTTAGCGTTAAAGGCGGCCTTCTATAGAGTAAATTTATTTATAATAATATTTTCTTTGAAATAAGAATTTTAAAAAAGACTAGTAAAAAAGGAAGACGGCAGTAATAAATCCGGAGGAGTTAGGTAATGATTAAGAATGTAATTAAGGGATATTTTTAATAAATTATAATGTTTAGGAACTCCTTCTAATTTTTTATTACTTTCTATTAAATTTAATAATAGTAGATTATTAGGAAGTTCGGTTATATAAGCGCCTTCGAAATCGATTCGGCTCCCGAAGTAATTGTAAATTTTATATAGTTAATCTATTTTATTAAGTAAGTTAGCGAGTTCGTTAGATGTAACTTTAAAGTTAGCTTTTTTTTTTAAAAACGTTTTTAGTAAAGGTAATATTTTTATTGAAAATTACATTTCGAATATTAATAATACGGTTATTATAAAGATTTTAAATCCGGTAGATAAATAAAAATAAATAACCGATAAAATAACTCATTTATATTTTTAGGTTATATTTCTTTCGCCTTTCTTACTTTAGCTACGTAATTATAATTATAATATAAGTTTTATAATTATAAATTCGAAGGTATAAGAGGTTTAGGTTTCGAGGGGTAGTAAATTTATATTAATAAATAATTAAAGTATAAAATTATTTGTATAAGGATTTCTAATTATAGAGGTAGCGGGGTAAGTAATTTATTAAATAAATAACTATTGAAGTAATTTCTATTTATAAATTTTTTAGTATTTAGGTACTAATAGTTATAATTCTCCCCTTTTCTTTAATAATACCCCTTAAGCGTTTTGCCCCGCTATTTTGAATTTGAGTATTAAGAATATATATTTCAATTTCAATTTTTCTAATAGCGAAGAAATTTTTAATAATTTATATTTTAATAATCTCGTTATTGTATTTAATATATCGTAGTTTAATAATATATTAATTCTCGAAGTTAATAAATAAACCTTTAAAGTAAACGAAGATCGATAGAATTATTTTATTTTAAAAATAGTAATCCTAAATGTAGTTGGTATCTCGATAAATAATTAATATTACGCTAATATACTTCTTTTTATTAGAATTATAATCGAGGAAATTGATAATTAACCTTTCGTTTAATTTATTACTTCAATCGCGTTAGTTTTATTTAATTTGGCATTTAATTTTCGTAATATTATACGTATTATATTAAATAGTAGAAGGGCTTTTAAAATATATTCTTTCGATGTTATAAAAGTAATTAAGGATTTAAAGATTGTAATATTTAAACCGATAGTACTATAGAAGACTGTTCTTCTTATAATATTTACGGCTGGTATAGGAATTGAATTGGTTTTATCTCGTAAAGAAATTAGCTTTAATTTTAGTAGGAGGAAGGTTTTCGAAAATAATTTAATTCTATTATAGAAATGATTTATAAAAGAATATATTATTTAAAGAGTAGACATAGTTACTAAGTAATTTATAATCCTAGTAATAACTTTACTTTCTTAATAATTAAAGAAATACCAAATTAATTACAAAATTAAGGATAAACGCTATATCTTTCAATCTTAACCTCTTAAATCCTTTCTTTCCTTAAATAGTAATATTAATGGTATTATATCCTTAAATAAGAATAGTGGAATCTCTAACCTATAAAACTTCACTATACGGGGCGCACCGAAATAAAATAAAATAAATAATTTCGTTAAATATATATAACAAACTTCCAAAATTGAATATTATGTAATTTTTAAGTAAGTAAATTGCGTCTTCGCTTTCCCCTTTTTAAAAGGTTACCTAATTAACGTTAAAAATAATTTAATAAATATCCTTATTAGTAAATTAATTTAGGCTATTGTCGTTTTCCTAATCGCTCTAATAGTCTTTATTACGGTTAGAATTATTATTTTTCTTAAAATCTTTACTACAAAGAGGAATACTATATTATTTAATTAAGTACTTACAATAAACGTCGATCTCTCTATATAATTTATCGTTTTTATAAAGGTTCTTTTTAATAACCTTTTAAATTTACTATCCTCCTCTCTAATTAATTTTAATTAAATATAGGAAGATATCCTAATATTTTTTAAGAGAATAGATACTTTATTTATATATTTTATAATGAGGAGGGGTCTTTTCTAAGGATTTTATTAATTTAATTCGCTTCTTCTTATTATAATATAATTTATTTTAATAAGCGTCCCCGTCTTCAATATTACTTTTATTTAATATAGGTCCTACTCCGAAGCCTCCCCTTTTAATATTATAAGCTTTACTTATTAATACGGTTAGAATTTTCTTAAGGATACTTTTATAGCGGAAGTCGCTAAATACGTTTCGAAAATTTAACATATTCTCCTTAATATTTATAAAAAAGTGCTGGCTAATACCGGCTATTTAAAGGGGACAAATTATTTTTAAATATTTAAGAAGGTCGTTAAATTAAATATTAATTTAAATAGTTTTTGGAATTGTATAATGTTTGACGAGGGTTATAATCCTATCCTAATTATTAATTTATTTGTTTATTTTACCCTTAGGTTTTTTTGGAAGAAGTTTAAAATATTTATAATATTAATAGCGAACGTTAATTTAAGTATTAATAGGATAGTAATTATAAATTCTTTTAAATATAATTAATTATTTTAAGGTTATACCCGATTTTTCAAAAGTATTAGCCTTATATTTAATATAAATAGTCTTTTATATTTATATCCTAATACGATTATTATATAATTTAAAGTCGTTAATAATCTTATACTAAAGGTTACTAGTAGATTAATTAGAATTAAATATACGTTTGCTAATCGATGAAAAGTCGGTTAATAGAATGGTAAGGTTCTTTTCCTGATCTGCAATAAATTTATTAGTAGTTTCGACCGTATTTAAAAAAGATAACGGCTAATTTATTATACTTTAGGTTTGGCTAATTAGAATAGTTGATATTAAATTAGAATAAATTAAAATCAATAGAATTACTATTGAAGAGGAAGTAGTTACTACTTTTATAATTAGGGCTAATATTATTAATCCAGTAGGCTATAACAGCGTAGGCAGTATTAGAATATATTATATTAGAGTAAATTAATTTATACATATAGATTTACTATATTCGAGGGTATTATTTTATAGCCTTACGAAGCTTGCCTAAGTTTTAATTATGCGGCCCGAGGCGGCGGCTAATAGTAGGTAAAAATCGAAAAAGTATAAGGTATTAAAAACCGGGGCTAATTCTTTACCTAGAAGGTAATTAGTGAATTAATAATTTTTAACGAGACTAAATAGCTTATTCTCCTAATCCTTATACTTACTTAGGGTATTAAAGTAGGGACGAGAGGTTTTATTCGTTTCGATAGTATTAGTTGTATCCTTAGAGAAAATTATAGTAATAAATTTAATAAAGGTAATAATAAGAAATAAAGAAGTATTAGGTATAAGTACTTCTAAATAGTATTTCGTAGCGTAACGATTTGATATTTAGATTGTTAATTATTAGAAAGTATATAAAGTAGGTTAAAAAATATATAGTAAGAAATAATTTATTCTAATAATTTTTATCCTAATCCTCTTCGAGGGTGCTAGAGTTTAAGTATAAGAACTAGAGATTCTAAGAGGCTAGTTCTTATGTAATAATATTGTCAAACAACCTAGTTATTGAGCTATAGTTATAAGGGGATTCCTACACTATATATGCAGTATATAAGGTTATATAGATAGGGAGGCATATATTGGATTAGAAGTCTGGCTATCAATATATGCCCTGATAATCTGATAGCTTTCGCTATATAAATAATCCCTATATTTACCAACTGGTGGGAAATGCTGGTGTAGTCCGAGTTTCGTCCGTGAATTTGGCTGCACGTCGAACTTAGCAGGTATCGATTTCCTGCACAACCTTTGAATAAGCAAAATCCTACATATTCCTACATTCTCCTTCCTAATTAGGCTATGCCAATTCCAATTGACAAGGATTCGTTTCTACCCTTCAATTGTAGAGTAGAAACGGACCCCTGTCAGTGTAGAAAGAAAGAAGAAAAGGAATCATAGTACAATATCCCGGTTAAAGACTACAAATTTACTACATATTTTAGCTTTGTACCCAACTCTACTCGCTCTTTCCACTCGCTGTTTGAACTAAACACGCCCCAATTCCATTTCGAGCAAGCCACCAGCCTCACCCGACACGACGACATCCCATGTACCCCTTTTCCTCAGGATCGTCCCCACCAACGAGCTTGGCTCACTACTAAAAAGCTTAACCAGACCGATATCAAAGTCACTGGAGCACTCCCGGATTGTCAAGTTGTTTCCTTACTTCACTCTAGTGCAACACCCGTTGCTGCTCGGTCAACGTTGCGTGAAAACTCGTCTTTTGGAAAGGTCGTCCAAAGACCGGGGCTTCCGGGTTTTCTGCCCGAGCGAAACTCCATCCATTTGCCGACGGGTTCGCTCATTTATTAGAACTTGATCCACCAAATAATTACACCTCGCTTGCTTCCCGCTCACTCCCGCCAGCTTTTAAGTGTTGCTGACCCGTCCATTCGTCAACGTACTGCACGTACGCCTAGGATTTCTAAGCTTTATTTCTCACTTCAACATCGCCCTGCCTACTATATATCGCGGACACGTATGTGCCATGTTGTCAATCATACTGAGGTATCTTGGGAGTCCATCCCCAGAGTCCTGGCACTATGTTGCCAAAGGTTATGAATCTCCACAAATGCTAAGAACTTCCCTTGAACGCTTGGGCCACATAAACACTGGATAAACATTCAGGATTCTCTCCAAGTGCTCGTGAGAAATTTGTATTTCCGAATAGGATGCCGTTGAATCAGTTTGGCTAATGTTGGCCATGGCTACATACGAACCATCAGAACTGTTGCTTCTAGAACCATCCTAAATGGTACAAAGCGCACCATGGCAATTAGGTCTGCTTTTCGTTCTTGCGCAGTTCTTCGATCGAGTCATCCAAGACGGCTATTTCTGTCTCAACTCGCAGCAGCTTCTCCTCAAGTATCCTCTCCCAATCCTCGTTGGTAATGCGAGTGATGGGACTCCATTTCCCGTCAATAACTTTCTGAAACCAGCTCTCTGACTTCTCCCTCGATTTGAGTTTGTTTTGAAGAGCCGCGCCACCCAGGCCGAGCAATGAAAAGACGACGGCACCCGGTATGATGTTTTTCGATCCGCCTGCCACATGTATTAGCTACGTTGCCGCACCTCGCAAGACTCCTGCTCTCCAACTTACGAAGTAAGCCCGCCGTTGCCCCCGAAAATGCACCAGCGGAGCTAGTTGCTATGAGATTGTCCCTTGAAGGGGAAGTATCGGTGCCTTTTGCCAGAGAATTAAGGGCAAACTGACGAGAACCTGGAGAATGTCAGTGCTATAGCACACACGACATTGAATATGCAGAGGTATAGGAATACGCACCCCAGAAACTGGAACTCAGGACAAACCACTGAATACCAGTTGTAGCTGCATACAATCCAGGGGGCGCTGAACGAATAATGCCGGCTGCAGCTCCGGTAAGGAGACCCAGAGTTCCTAAACACGCAGTGTCAGTCCATCGGCTGTAAAGAAGTCAAGTAGCTTTGGGTTCAACTCACCCACACCGGCTCCAAGTTTCAATGCAGGGCCAAGGACTGGATCCGGCCGTGTGTTATAGAAGGAAGGAGCCTGATCGCCCATCTGTTCTTCGGGCGCATTATCTGAAAGAGTCGGCATCTGTACACTGTTTACATTGTCACCCAGCACCTTGTTGGGGACAAGAACCTCAACTCTCTTCATTTCAGTCAGGGGACAGGACTTCCTCGAGTCTGGTTCTCTTTTAGTCTGATGTGCCGAGTCCTGTGAACCTCGGATGATGGCTTTCAAGCCTATCAGATGCGTGAACTACCCAAACAAAGACTTGGGCTTCACCCAGGGCGCATCTGGTACGGCAGTATTGTGTATGCTTGGGTTATGTTCCCTCGATTGTGTCGTTACTGAAACCCAGCCATGAAGTCTCAACTAGGTACAAATGCGGGACGGGAGTTGGAGATGTGACTTTGGAGAAGGGACATGAGGGGGAGTACAGGTAACAAGTGGAAGGCACAGGGCACAGGGCAGCGATAGCGGGGAGCCCAGAATGACGGCCCGCAGAGAGGGGTGCGAAAGCGGCACCAGGGCTCTCTGCGCGCAAGAACACCCACTGAACCCTCTGCTAGCGCGCAACTTTTCAAGGTCTCGAACGGAGAAAGTCGAGAAGGTGGAGGTGCGTAAGTAGAACTGCGCTAAGCCATATGAGGACTAGCGCAGCCATAGCACCGCCCACCCTTACGCACTTTCCCACATTCACCCACCAGCTGCCCACGCAGCCCACCTGCCCACTCAATGCGGGCCGAGCAAAAAAATGTTAACCCTCCACTGGATTCCACCTGCTATCAAAAGACGAATTTTTTGTCGTCCTGCCCGCAACGCCGAATCCTGAATCCACTTGGGAAATCACGACGGAACCAACGGCGACCCCCCCATCCTCGTCTACCATTCGCCCTTCCCTTCCACTTTGTCGGTACCACCAGCTGCGTCCTCTCAACGGTACTCGACACTCCTCCATCGCTCTCGGATCACTTCGAGGCCATTACCATCAACTCGCCGGCTAGACTACTCCTCTCCGGCAAACCACCCCCTCGTCTACGCTTGCGACCATCGTCTGTCGCACGTAGGCCTTTCAAAAAACCGCAATCATGGGTGAGCACCACCACCGTCGACGACATCATCATCACCGTCACCGTCACTGTCCCCATGACTCCGTCGACAACTCTCCAAACCCAACCTACCATACCTCGCGCCCCTCCGTGACGCTACCGTCCTACCGTCTTCTCGCTGGCGTCACATGCTAATTCGGGTTTGCAACAGCTCCCAAGAAGAAGGAAGTCCAGAAGCTTTCTCTGGGCGAATTTTTGAACGAACCCTGTGAGTTCACCCCTCCCCCTCTACGCCAAGGCACCGACCCGCCTAGCAGGGTGGTCATGTCAACCCCGTTCCTGTCGCTTGATGAGATACATGACTGACATATCGTACAGCTTTCGGCGGCTCGTGGGCTGATGAGGTCGAGGACACCTATGGTAAAGCAACGCCTTCTCCGTCGTTTTTTGATATTGTTTCGCTAACATACCGTCTAGCCTCCGGCACCCAGCCTCTCCCTCCCTCTGAGCGTCGCGGCCCTTCCACCTATGGTGGTGGCTCTTCCTATGCTGACCGTGGTTCGTCAACCTCCCAACAACTAGTCGGCTTGACCCTGTGTTGACCTTAGAGTTTATGACAGGTTATTCCTCCATCCGCGACAACATCAGCCCGGCCCAGCTTCCTACCAGGCCCCCTTTCACCGCCCATCTCGGCAACCTTTCTTACAATGCGACCGCCGAGACCGTTACCGAGTTCTTTGAGGGCTGCGATGTCGTGAACGTCCGCATCATTGAGGATCGCGAGACTCAGCGCCCCAAGGGTTTCGCCTATGCCGAGTTCAAGGATGTCGAGGGTCTCAAGACTGCCTTGACCCGTGATGGAGAGACCTTTGACGGTCGCAGCATCCGCATCAAGATTGCCGATCCCCGTATGTGTTCCCTTATATGAATCCGTTATGTCTGATCGTGGTATTGACAACCTCGCAGCCAAGCAGGGCTACAGCGACAGGGGCGAGTCGAGCCGTGACCTCCCTACCTGGGAGCGCAGAGGACCCCTTCCTGACTTGCCCGGACGTGACCGTCCCCAACGTGACTTTGGCGAGCGCAGGGCCCCCAGAGAGTTTGCCCCTGCCGACGATGGCAAGGTTCGCGATTTCGGCAACTGGGAAAGGCGTGGTCCCCTCCCCCCCGCGGAGTCCACTGAGCAGATCAGGGACTCCTCTCGCTCGCGTCCCCTTGAGGCCCGTGGCGAGTCTTTCCGCAATGATAGGAGGGCTTCCCCCGCTGCTTGGGGCCCTGGTGAGGGTCGTCAACAAGATACTTCCCGTCCTCCCCGCCGCGAGTTTGGCGACCGTCCCGAGCGCGCTCCTACTGCCGCCGAGAAGGACAACCAATGGCGCAGCAGCATGCGCCCTGCTACCGAGTCTCGTGAAGGAAGCGTCCCCAACTCTCCCGCGCCCTCGGCTGCCCTTCCTGTCGGTCGCCCTAAGCTGAACCTCACCAAGAGAACCGTTTCGGAAGCCCCCGAGGCCGGATCGACCGCTTCGACTGACTCGAAGGCCAGCCCCTTCGGTGCCGCTCGCCCCATCGATACTGCCGCCCGCGAACGCGAGATAGAGGAGAAGCGCCTTCAGGCCCTCAAGGAGAAGAAGGAGGCTGACGAGAAGGCCAAGGAGGAGAAGCGTCTCGCTAAGGAGGCCGCTGCTAAGGCCGAGGCTGAGAAGGCTGAAGCGGATGCCGCGGCCGCGAAGGCTGAGGCTGAGAAGCCCGTTGAGGCTCCCGCCCCCGCCGCTGAGGAGGAGGTCAAGTCCCCCGGTGCTGCTCCCGCCAACGGTGTAGCTGCCGATCAGAAGCTCCCCGTCAAGACCCGTGAGCCCCGTGAGCCTCGTGAGCCCCGTGAGCCTCGTGAGCCCCGTGAGCCCCGCGAGGCTCCTAAGACTAGAGCCACCGAGAGCGGTAACTGGCGCTCTGCTCCTAGGGAACCTCGTGCTGGTGCCGCTCCTGGTGGACCTCGCCGCAACGACCGTGCCCCCGCTGATCGCGCTCCTCGCGCTCCTCGCAGCGACTCTGGCCGCGGCCCTCGTGCGAACGGTGGTGCTCCTGCCGCCCAGCCCGCCCAGGCTGCCCCGGCTGCCGGCGCGGAGCAGGCTCCCGCTACTCCCGCTGCCGCCGAGGAAGATGACGGCTGGACGACCGTTGCTGCCCCCAGCAAGGGCCGTCGTGGCACCAACCGTGCCTACTAATCGTACACTAGACGACATCCCGTCAGCTTTTCACGATCGCCGGAAAGCCTCTTCCGAAAAGCATGGTGCATGGCTTCATGTTGCCCTACTCACGTTTTGCCAGCCCCAATGACTTTGAAGAGAATCATTCCACCCTCAAAGGAGTCACAAGCGATCACACGACTTAGTTACCCCACGCGCGATCTAGTCCCTGCTTTGGATAGGCAATGTCCTCCAATGCAGTAAGAGAATTCTCGCCGCAAATTTACCTGGGTTTTCTTCTACTTTGCTCACATCTACGTTTGCGCAAATTCAGAAAGGGGTTATAGGTATTACCAAATGGGCGTTATTTTCCATGCCTTTTCTTTTTAGATAGGCGCATCATTTTCCTCAAAGACGTGGAACGTACGGATACCTATTCTATCTTAGTGATAGAAGGAGATGGGCGAAGCAAGAAAAGAAGGAAGGGCGGAGGGAGGGAAAAGGTTGATGACAAGATGGGGAAGCTACAGAATGACGAGAAGGCAGAAAGGAGGATGTTCGGTGAAGTTGATGCGTGTCTGTCTCCCCAGGCTTATATCCAAGACGGACACGCCACGCCGCGTATGTTATCAAAATCTGTTTGTTGGTAGAGAAATAAAAGCGGATTCGGTTCATGAAACCTTGCGAAGAGAGAACTGGAAGTGGAAATGTGTTTCTCGGGACAACTGCCATATAAGGAGGCTGATGTGCTTTATCGTGATCGAGACTGTGTCGAACTCATTCTTTGTTCAGTAATCCAGATGTCTCGCGCATCTCGCCTGTTGATAGTGCCGCCGAGTCCATAAAATTCGATATGTAATACTGGTTCCTGGAACTCTGAAACTGTAATCATCCGTGCCTTTTAGATACGCCTCCATCTAGCATGATGAGTCTAATTCAGGGAAGACTCTGCATCAGGCAAATGTGTCAGCACAGCGCCTACGATTTATGTTTACTGATCTCAGGTTGTGTCTCGTCGGTCGGTGCCCGATGGATTTGGAGTGGCTCATGAGGCGCATGGGGCGGGAGGACGGGAGCAAGCAGTCAAAAGAAGGGAAGGGAGCTATTCTGGGCTGCAGGGGGCATGGGGCACCGAGTGGATCAATCCTTCTTCCCTCGGGAAGTTCCCCTTCCCTTGTACCCCTGTCAGGGTGTGGGTCGCCCCACACAAGCTTCTACCGTCATCAAAGCTGTTCGATCGTGAACCCCTCCTCACTGCAAGGTCCGAAGTATAATATAAAAGTGCTTCTGTCCTCTCGATTACCTGAGCATATGTTTCGTAATACTTCGCTGCATCATCCTTCAAAAAGACGATACTCCAACCCGTAAAACACACCAATTTGATACTACTCTATCAACAGTCCATCACAATGGCTTCCTTCCTTGATCTTTCGTCCAACTGGTCTCTCCACTCGGTATGTACCTACCTTATCTCATGACATGTGAAGAGGAACCGATATGCGGTTCTCTTCACGCTTCAGTTTCTTGAGGCAGACGAACGCACCTGGGAATGAAGAAACGCAAATCATCAACCTTGACGAAACACAATCACTGACACGAGCTACCAGATCCCCGCGGCCTTCGTGCTCGCCCTCCTCCCCAACTTCTACGCCAGCTTCGCTGCCGGTAAGAACTATGACTTGGCCAAGTAAGTCTTAAGTTCCCGTCCCGTCCCTCCATCATCTCACTCCTCCCATCCGTTCCCAATTTCCTCCCCCTCCCTCCCATTTTACAACCACCCACCTACTACCAACATCAACATTACCATCACCATACTTTTACTAACACCCCCCTCCCAACCCACCACAGCCCCCGCAAAACAGAAGAACACCTCGCCAAAGACACCACCCTCTCCAAGCAGCAGGTAAACCGCATCCTGCGCGCCAAGGCGGCCGCCAACAACGGCCTTGAGACCATCGGGCTTTACGCCGCGGGCGTCGTGGCCGCCAACGCCGCCAAGGTGCCCGTGGAGACGCTCAACAAGCTCTCGCTGTTCTACCTGGGCAGCAGGCTGGTGTACAACTTTGTGTATATCTTCTTGCAGGATAACCGCAAGTTTGCGCCTGTGCGCAGCTTGGTGTGGATGGCGGGGATAGGAGCGATTTTCAGTTTCTTTATCAAGGCTGGGAATGCGCTTTACTAGATCGAGTTTTTGAGGGTTTGGGGTGTTGAGGTTGGGGGGATGGATGGTAGTTGGGTGGTGTAGATGACGGAGGATACTTGATGGGATGTAATCTACCTTTCGTGAGATCTGTTGTTGGGCAAAAATAAAGAAAACTTGGTTTTTGTTGATTTCATAACTTAGAGATATGTATGTTCTCGCTGTTTTGACTATAATATCTTCGGTTCTTGATCTTACGAAGTGTCTCTTGAGCATCTTGGTCAACGGTCAAGGTATCGAACAGTGTTCTCCACTCAAGATGGGGTTGGGACTTAGGAGACGTTAAATCACCACCATGAAAGCTTTACCAGTTGCGAATGAACAACACCTGAACATGAATGCCACAGTCCTAGAGTCTCCAAGCAACAAAGAGTGTGTAAGCTCTTCACTCAAAATGATAAATAAATAACACAAGAAGTTCGAAAAGTTTTCTTAACCCACCACTTGACCCCCATCCCTTTCCCGGTTCCGCTCCTCTTCGATGTCCTCCTCCTCCTCTGCGTTTCTTCCTTCAACCAGACCAGATGAAGTCCCAAGCATATTGATACCAAAACGTGTTGTTCTTTAACGTTGTGGACCACACTTTCGGATGAGATTGAGTTTACAAAAATCGCCTCCTTCCCCGATTCCCCCCGTTGCGCAGTCAGTTATTTTCTCCAACCCGTTGCCATGCCACCCCGGCCGTGAATTAAATAGGAAAGATACACAAAACAGGCTAAGGTTAACTGGTTTACCGTCCTCATACACAAGCATTCTTTGGGTTGTGTGTGTAGAGGTTGGAGTCCATGTTAACGGTTGCCTTTCCACCCGCTCAGCTATTAAGCCGCCCATTCCAGACCAGATAGGAGCTAACCTGACGGAACTGGCCAGCCGGTCATGCGACACTGAACCGTTGAACCTCGACTCAGCCTTCACTTCTTCTTCTCATGGACATTCCCACTCGAGCAACGGACCCCCAGTTATGCCAGGGCTTCCTTCACAGCATAATCCTCCGTCACGCTATGCAAAAGCTGTGCAACCCAGAGAGGCACCCTGACAGTTCGGCTCGGATAGTGGACGGACGAAAATAGGTTGACCGGTCCAGCATCTTCGCAGTCCCTCTTACGCTCCCCCAACTATCCACTTATATGATACCTCCCGGTGGATCGTAGACGGCCGTCGCCCCGCGAGCAGCAGCCGATAGTCCTGCGCTCCCGGGTTGTTCCTCAGCTGGAGCGTTGTTCGTCTTCCTTAGCATAAACATGGGCTTCTTTCCTTCCTTGTCCAATTGCTTGAACAATATGAGAGGCTTCTCGTCCAGTCCCAGACACCGTTCTTGATCGCCATATACGATATACAGAGCGTATTGATCCCATGGGGCGTTGATTTGGTACTTTTTGAGCGCTGCCGGAAGAACTTTATAGCACGGGTCATCCATACTGACCCTGAACGACTTGAAGATCTCGACGGACGCGTTGCTCGCGGAACCAGGGGTATCAGGTGCCGGCGTCTGTCCTCTGCGGGGAGCGGACACAGGTTGTTTGTCTTGAGAACCGTAGTGATCGTTATCGCCAAATGTGGATCGGCTCGATGATGGGGGTTGGTTGTCACCGCGATAAGATCTGGGATCAAGAGTAGTGCCTGACATGTTGGTGGTGGGCGGAGAGGTAGGCGATGGCATGTTCGGTGACGGATAACCACCGGAGAGGGTGTTCGCACTAGACCCGTTCATGGCGCCAAGGTGAGACGACGACATCATACCTCTACTAGTCGCAGAAGAGTCGTATGTCGGGCCGTGGGAAGTCTGAAGATGGGACGGGGAGACTGCCTTTGGCGTTGTCCCAAGCATGATCCTCTTGGTAGAATATTGCCGACTTAGGCCGGCACTCGGCTGGCTACCCGCCGACGAGGCTGGAGCTGGCGGTGACAAAGTAGATTCGTAAGACGGTCCACTTGGTAGCGGTTGTTGAGCATCCTTGGCGAGTCGCAATGCCGGTAGCATATCTTCCCGTAACCTCCTAAAGTCTTCGGTTAACCGGCGCAGGTCTTGCTCAAAGAGGCTGATGCGCTCGTCTCTCAGACGCAACTGCTCAGCGAGATGCTTAATGTCGTTGAGGGTAGCATTTGCCGATAGCGCTTCGGTCGCGGCGGCTTCAAAGTTCAGCTTGTTAGCACGCGAGAATTGCACAAGGTAAGGGGGCACGGCACGTACTAAGAGGCATGTAGTGGTCGTCCTCAATAGGGACATCCTGAGCCTTCTTCACATCGTAGACGGATTTCAGAATCATCAAGCGGTGGCCAACACTGTTAATGCCCATCGACTTGAGATCATCATGTTGTAACGCGACTAGGGCCTCTCCCACAATTTCGTTTTCTGTGCGAAGAGTTAGCAAAAGTCAAAGCCATACGCTACTTTTAGCGATGTAGTCGGAACGGACCTATGAATCTATCTGCGTATTGCTGTAGGCCAATCGAGGCAATGAAGTCGGCGCAGTCGTCGGCAGACCAGTCGGAAATCAAGGTTTCTATGTGTCTATCTGCACTGTTTCGGTAGCCGTAGGTTGTAGGGGTGTGTTCGGCCGAGGGGGGGCCAGAGTCGATGGGTGAGTGTTCGACGTCGGTGTGATCGATAGGGGAGCTTCCGTGAATATCGCGCTCATACTCGTCGTCGGCGTCCGACTCAGCGTACGCGGTGCCCGAGTCGAAGTTCATGTTCGCGAATTGCCGGGCCTCCACAGCCGGGGCTGCGGCGGCAGGAGACAGAAAACGCCGAAGTCGTTCTTTATGGGAGGCTCGAGGACGGAGAGGCGGGAATCAGCGATGGGCGCTGCGTCGTCCGGATCGACATGCGGGGGAAGAAGAGCGGAGGGCCCTGCTGCTGTCGACAAACGAAGGGGAGCGCCTCAATTCCCAGCGACTGGGGAGCGCAAGAGCGGTTCCGCAACGAGTAGGATGGAGGAGGAGGCGCGAGTGGGCGGGTAGAGCTGCCAAGCGGTGGGCTTTCCAAGCTTGGCTGGTTGCAGTAAAAAGACGTTGGCCGGATCGTGCAACAAGCAGCGAGCAATGTTTGGCGAGAATTACGGCGGTGGGAGCAACAGCAAGCGTCGGGTACGGGAAGCGGAGGCGGGTTTGGATCGAGTCTGACTGACAAGCAACCTGTCGTCTCGTCGGTCGGTCAGGTTCCCGTGTCGTGAAGTGTGATGAAATCGGCCGGATGGAGTTCGGCTAGAGGTAGAGGTAGGCGAGAGGTAAATGGATGACAGACACCTCCCGCTAGACAAGGACCGGTCGGTGGTGACAGTGGGATGTGGACAGTGCAACGACGGGCTCTTGAATGTCCTTGTCGCGGTGGTGGAGTTGGTCGATTGTTGTGGATGTTTTGGTCTAGATGCAGCAAATGTTGAGTGCAGTGATTGAATGCCGTTGCGGTGCAGTGCCTGCGTGGGTGCCTCTCTGCCACCGTCTTCCTTTCCATTCCTGCACCGTCTGGGACTTCACAGTCAAGACCGGTGCGCTGTTGTATTGATTGCGGGCGTGCGTCTCTTCCACACGGGCTTGTGAGGTTCTTTGGGCGGCAGGTGCTTGTGGTGTGCACAGCAACAGCATTTCAGGTGGCCTATTGCCCGCCCGCAGCTGCTAGCCGCTCGCCTGTCCCAGTTCTCGGCCAGCTCTTGGCCAGGTCGACCAGTCAGGCAAGTGGCCGCAACGTGTCTGGCGGGTGGCCGAGCGAGTGGTGACCCCATTTATTGCCCAAACCGTTACTAGCGCCCAAAGATGGTCAAATCGTTCAAGTCGCTTTCAGTCGGTGGTCCTCAAAGTCTTTTGGTTGGCTTCCACTTGGGCATTGTGCGCCGCCCGGTCGTTGACCAAAAACCTCAACTCACTGCAGGTACAAAGGTACGACTTCTACATATGGGAATGGTCTCTTGCTTGGGTTCTGTCCGGATATTGCTCCGTACTGGACGTTTCTCACAGGTACCTTACCTGCCCGGCGTGTTCCTGTCAGGGGCACAGCTCGAGTCTTCCAGTCCACATCTTTTTTCAGGGTGCGTATATCGCTCAAGACCTAAACCAAACTTCCAAGTATTCTTGTTTTTGCTCGGCGTATATCAAAAACTTGATTTCATGAGCTTGGGAGCTTCGCCCAGCTGCTTAAAAGCGACAAGACTGTTTGGAGAGTCCCATCGAATTAATCATGACCTGGAAATTCGACCAAAACGATCCCACTCTTTCTGTCGTAGTCGGGCTGCCAATATCCGTTAACTTACTATAGCTCCATGAGCCGAACACAACGTTGTATGGCATGACGGCGACGGCGGGATATTATATTCCCATGTCTCTTGTCTCTTTGCTCGTCCGTTTCTGCCGTTCTGGTTGTGCCCGATGACGTTGCGGCCTGAGCATCATGGTTGGGATCACTAATCCAAGCCAGAATGGCTTTAATGGGAATGACGGGCAATATATCATGTCTTTGAGTCTTCAAATGACGACAGCCTAACACACTTTTCAACAACTGGACTATGTATCGGAGAGCTTCCCTCCTCTAAAGTGCAGATCGTTGCTGTCAACCACCACGATCAACCGATAAATATGAACTGGATGCCCTATGTAAAGTAACCAACTCCCCAGCCTGTCAATCAGCAACCCCTCATGTTCTTATCCCTCACTTCCTCAGCTTCCCCTCCTTCCCTCCAAAATTGCCAAAGCTAAAGGAACAAAACCCCATTCATCCCGTGTCACCACGTTGCCGCAGCGGAAAATAAGCTACTACCCGCCTCAGCGGTTGCGGCTGGGGAAGCGTGGGAAGAAGATAAGCAAAAGCACGCAAGGAAGGAACGTGCGGGACGGGTAGGTTCAAGGGATATGGGACGGACATGGACACAATGGCAATGAGATGGGATGAATGTGGGGGTTTCCTTTTATAGTATTCCCCCCCAGTTGACGCAAACAGAAAGCTTTCTTGGATATTTGTACTACATACAAGCAGCTCAACTCATTTTCTATCCCTGGGGCTTTTTCCTACAGTATCCCAAGAATTACGTGAGTTAGATATGGCTTCAACTCTTCAAGTGCTTTAAGCCCTCCTGGAGATCCTCCAGGATGACCTAAAAAAAACGGAGCTGTTTACGTAGGCTATGCAACCAAGAAAGAAATACTAACAGCCTCCATAGAAACCATCGCATCATTGTGCATATCATGAAACAGCCCGGTTCCTGGTATGAAGCTTTGATCAGACGCCCCTTACCTAGAGAGTCGTCAAGGTGTTTCAACTGTTTTGTCCCATCCGCGTTTCTGATTGACCCCGGGCCAAGCTTAGCCCGGATAGTTTATTTGGAAGGAACAGGTTAAGAATGTGTCAAGTGGTTACGATTCAAAGACCTCTCGGTCTGAGGTTTGCTTTTCGTCGTAGTTGTTAGTCTTGGTCAAAGTCACTACTACATTTGCGAACAAAGTTAAGGTCTTTAATAGCATCTGTCTTCCGCTATGCTAAAATGATGTCGAACCCTCCGCAAATAAATCCATCCTCACCAAGCCAGACCATTCTCTAAATAGGTAAAATATGCTACGATACGCCAACCAACTCCTTTCAAATGATAATGCATATATGGAACCACGCCTGATATGCTCCAACACCTCCCGTGTCAATACCCCTCTCAAGACACCTACCAATGCGCACTCTTTTTCTTCGCAATCTTCCTGTTCCTTTCTTCCCTTTCCCTTTCTCTTTCCCTATCCCTCGCACTCGAGCTCCCATTCCCGCCAGACAGACCAACAGAACTCTGGCTATACCCATACCTCCCACTGCCATTCTGATCCGCCGACAAGTACGGCGCACCACTACTGCGCCTCCTCCCCGAACTACCAGGTCCCGGAGTTCCAGAGCCACGATCAAGAGCTGGCACCACGACGCCGTTCCACACCTTATTCAGCTTATCACAGTGGAACGGCCCTGGCCTGCTGCTGCTGTTATGACTCCCGCTCCCATGATGAGCCCCCGGCGGACCGGCACTAAGGGGCCGCGGAGGCAGGGAGGGTGTGGCGCCCCAGGTGGTCGTTGGTGACAGCTGGCCCTGGCTTGGCTGTTGGAAGAGGTGCGGCGGAGGTTGTGTGTTTTGGAAGGTTTGCCGTGGCGGGAGGGCAGGGCTGCTACTGAACGTCCCTCCGTTCTGAGGAGCTGTAGGAGAGTGGACGATCGACGGGAGTTCCTGCCCTTCCATTCCATATTCTCTCCGTAAGCGTTCCGTCTCGGCCGCTATCTCTGCTTCTCTTCGTTGACGTTCGCGCTGTTCTTCCTCTTCGAGCATCCTCTTGATGCGCTGTTGCTCTTCTTGTTCACGCCTCTCACGCTCTTGCCTTTCCCGCTTTTGCCGCTCGTGCTCCTCGCGCTCAACCATGGCTTTTAATCGTTGCGTTTCGGCATCGATATCTGCCTTTGATGACGCAGGTTTTGCCGCACCTGAAGCACTGACGGGTGTAGTATCTGGATGCCGGATCGCGTTCGCAGCAATAAACTGTCCTCCCGCCCCTGATGGACCACCATTAGCCGCCACAGCACCAGACATAATGGGCACTCCTGGTGGCGTGCTGGTAGGTTTCGAGTTCTTCCTCCTGCCTGCAACTCCGACGGGAGAGCCCCCTCCTCCGACATTGAACACATCGGCCTTTGGAGACAGATACAAGTCCTTGATCACCTCGGCTCCCAGCAACAGCACCAGCTCCAGCCCTTTCCGATCCTCCACCTCTACCCGGTGCAGATTCGGCTGGTAGACAGTAACCACGCTCTCCCCATCTTTGCGCGTCGTAGTCTTGAACATGGCAATCGTGATATCCGGCTCTTTGTTCCTCCTCCCTCCCAGGTTCTTTCCACACATGTACAACGTCATATCCTTGCTCAACTTGCTGTCCTTCTTCCACCTGAACATGACCCTCGGCATCAAGTCCGGCGGTGGCAGTCCTCCGTTCTCCCTGTCAAGCTCGCTGGCCGAGGGCTGCTTGAACGTCTGGACCGGCAGCTCAAACTCCCACGAGTCAGTCTTGTTCCACGTGCCCGGCACCATCTTGATCGCGACGGTCGAGTCCGGGTTGTACAGCTGAATGGCAAAGGCTTCCGGGACCAGCGCCGTCGCGGGGGCAGGCGGCGCGCCGTTCAGTGCCTGGGCGCGCATCTCGGCGCCCGAGACAGTGGGTTGCGACCATTCTGGGGTGACGAGGACTTCGGCGTAGACGACGTCGGCGTTCAACGGACCGCAGAGGGCGGCGGCGTACTTGCTGCGCGAGGCCGGGAGGGCCGGGTCGGCCCGTCGGAGGATGTACTCGGGGCTAGGGTCGGCGCCGTTCTGTGTGAAGAAGAGGATGGAAGAGAGTGGGTTGTCCGGAGACGGGCGGGAGCGGAAGGTGGGAAAGTTTTCGTCGAGCATCGTAGGTTGGAGAGGAAGTGGTGAAGCTGTCTCGGGTACTGGCTTACAGTGATCCCTGCAGAAAAGCTAGGTATCTCTTTGACGCGGTATTGCTTTGTCTGGTTCACTCGATGGGTGAAACTGCTCCTGTAGGTATCGACAGGTGAATCTGATAAGTTTATTGGAGTGATGTAATCCTGACAGGCGCAGGGACTGCGTGTAAACTTGGTCTCGTGTTCGAGGTAAAGTAGCTTCCGGCTCGTGTTGGTAACAATGAGCAGAAGACCCGACCTACGCAGATTTCGGACAAGAGAAGAAGAAGAATGGAGAAAGGGAGTCATGAGAGTAGAAAGAAGTCCAGAAGATTCAGATGGAAGCCCAAGATGCCGCCCCGCCACCCCCTGCCCTTCCCTGAATCCGCCCTGAATCCTGATGACCAAACGCCAAGTGGAATTCCATCCGGGCCATGTGATATTATGGGTAATAATCGATATGGGTTCAACGTGGCTTGATTGTGTGTATGTGTGTGTAAGACTGGCTCTGCAGACTAGAAGCTCTGGCATCTAGATAAATCCCGCATATTCCAGCCCAACTGGGCACGTACACGCCCAATAGATCCCCTGGCCTCTAATATACCTCCTTAGATTTAGTGTACAAACTACGCTAGATCTACCTAGATATACCCTAAAATGCCCTAAAATCCTTCCAAAATTAGCCAAAAATAATATTATTCCCAAATTACTTCTTCGTTACAATAGCTTTCAAACTTTTATTCGTAAGAGTCTTGCCTTATTATACTTATTATTATACTTATTGATTCGTTACCCGAATCCTCCTCTATAAAATCCTCTATACCCTTCGGGCGGTTTATAGCGATATCTCTGCTACTAAATTCTCGTAATTAAATTTATAGCCGCTATAACTCTACGAATCCTAACTATTCTATAGATTTTAAATATATTACAGGAAGGAAGCTCTTTATAAGGCTATCTACAATCTATTCCTTGGTAAGCACGTAAACTACATTTACTAATTTCCTCTCCTATATTTACTTTAATTAATACTTATATATATCGATATATTTAAATTTAATTACGAGTTAAACTCTCTCTTTTATAATAAATTATATTATTTATTCATTATTATAGCCTATAAACGTAGCTTCTTAATCTTCGAATCCTAAAGTAAATTCGTTAAAGAAACGGCAGGCGTAAATTACTTCCTTAGCTCCTTAACTAAAGGATAGTAATTTAATTTCTATAAATAAAATCGTAATTATAATTTAGTTATTAATATACTAATCGATAATAGCGCTTAATAATTTAAGTATAAATACTTATAAATTTTTTCGATTAAGAGAATTATCTACAAATAAAGAATTAATTATAATATAAAAATTTTAATAATTTTTATTATTTAATTTAAAAGGTATAGTTTTAAATTATTAGAAAGTAGAAGAATACTCTATTTATAGCCGTATAATATATTAAATTAGGATTTAAATTAAATCGAACAAATTTAGAGACCGGGAAAGCTACGTTTAATTATAATATAATAACAATATAAAGAATCGAACCGATTTTAATTTAATATGCATAAATCTCGTACGGGACTATACTATTTTAGTAAAGTAGAAGTTCCTTTCTAACTATAAATATAAAATATAATTTCTTTATATATTTAACCTTCTCCGCAATCTTCTAAATATAATTACGTTATAATAATTAAATTAGCTTCTTCTTTCGGTTTCGAATAATTTTGATATTTAAAAATTATTTTAATAATTTTCTACCTATTAATTAATATTTCGTCTCTATAGTAGCTACTACCTCTTTAGTTATAGTAATTTCTTTATCCCTATATCTATAAATAATAACGATATCGTCGACGTAAAAAAACAGAATATATTATTTTTAATTAAAATATTAGGCTCTATAGGGAGAGGGTTCATACTTATAGTTATAAAGGTTTTAATAAATTCCTACTACTAGAGGAGAAGAAACCTCCGCAGACTATACAACGTATATAGTAATTAGAATATTTAGCCTTTCCTAGTATACCTAAGGGGAGCCTTTATAAATATTACCTTATCGAGTATAGTATTAATAAAAATATTCTTTATATTATATGAAATTAAATTGAAATTGAAGTAGGCAGCTATAATTATTAAGATACAAAATAATCTAATTATTAGAGTTGTTATGTACGTTTTACGCATACTATCTTTAAATTACTAGTCTCTTCGTATAATTAAACGTACTCTACATTTAAAGAACCGGCTGTTTTAGTCGAATTTATAAATATATACTTATATCGAATTAAATATCTCGTTATTTCCCGCTTCCTCGATACTAACTTACTTTTAGGACTTTTTATTCTTATATTTATTTAGGTATTCTTTCTCTATAGCTTTAAAAAATTCCCTAAAGGAATAAGAATTAAAATTACTATAGTACTCTAAAAGAAGTAGAAAGTTAATTCGATAGAGGGTCCTTAATATACCCTTTATTCTATAGTAGTTAATAATATCCCTTATTATTTTTAATTTAGAATTATAGCTGGGATTAATATCGATACCCCTCTCTCTTATTTATTCTAGAAAGGTTTAGTCTACGACCTTATCTCCCTAAAAGCCTACAAATCGATTACCCTTTATAAATAAGACCGACGCGGCCTAATAAAAATATTAATTTATAATTAATTATAATTCTTTATTAAAGCGAAAGAAGTCAGTTATTAGAAACGCAGTTAAATTATTAGGAGGCGTAGGGAAATAGCCCTCTTCTTCATCCTTTGAATTTAAAACTGTACTTTAGAAATCCAACGGCAATTATATAAACGGCGATAGCAAGGGTTCTAGAAACCTTTATGGTATCTTTAGACTGAATAGTATTCTTAGTACTTATAGGACCTTTAGAGATCTAAATTACGTCTATATCTCTAGAGACCCTGATTTCTCCTTTTCTCCTAATATATTTTCGGTCTTAGTAGGAAAATTTCAGATAACGGGGCTAGGAATTCTATTATTTATAGTAAGTATAGCCTCGACCTATAAAACGTTTATTTATATAATATCTATTTAATAAAAGTTCTTTAATTATATAACTAATTCTTTAAAGAAAATATTAAAGGTATTATAGATTTCTTTAACGTTACTATTAAAGAAGACTTCGTTTTTATTAAATATAATATTTCGTATAATAATAATAAAATTGGTGTAAGAATTCTAGATCCTATAAATATTCATTAATTAATATCCAACCAAATAGCCGACCTAGGTATAGTCCTTAACCTTTATTAATTTATTCTATTTTTTTATAATTTTTATTATAAGAATGAAGACTTTGTAACTATATACTTTAAAATATACAATAGTAAAGGAAGGGTCTAATAGAAGAATAATACCGTTTTTAAATTAATAATATGTTTTAATTCAATTTTAGGGAGATTTCTAATAATATTCCGCTTTAGGAGTTAAATTATACAAATATATAACTACTCTAATAATCTTTATTTATAGTTCGTAAGGAAGATTTGTACCTAATCGTATTATTATATTTTTAATTTTAATTATACCCTCTAAGTACTATACGCCGCTATTTTAAACTTATATATAAGGCGCTAAGGGCTCAATATTAATTCCCTTAGTAGTAAGCTAAATAGTAATTTTCTTACTACTAATCATCTTATTATTATATTTAATTACCCGAAGTACAATTTAATATTAAATTTATAACCCTATATAAAGGGATTCTAAATACGTAATAATAAATTCAACTTCTCTATTACCTAAATAATATACCTAAACGAATCCAGACTACCGGTCTACAACTACTATTAAATTTGAATATTTCTAACCCCCTACCTTTACCTCCTTATAAAAAAAGAAGTCGATAACCAATTGTAACCTAAAGCCCTACAAATAGTTACGAACTTCTTTACATACTTATTACTTCAACTTAGCTTTAGCACATAATTCACAATATACTATATGCGGTCTCTTAAATCGTACGCTATACTTTTACTCTATTAATTTAATTAAAATTTCAGGTCTCAGGTAACTAAATCGAAAATATTAACGAAGGGGTTTACCTTCTTAGGGCTTCTAGTTAATATAATTTATATATTGTATAATAAAAAAAAATTCGTTAACGCTATTCTATAGAAAAATATATTCTAAAATAAATTACTTATATTTAGAATAAATATAATAAATAAGGGAATCCGTAAAGTAGGTAAATAAATAACTATTTTTATAGTCCTAATAAATGTATTTATCTTCGAATTATTTTTAGGAGATAAGGTTATAGGCTATACTTAATACTAAGGCAACGTTAAAGAGTTAGAGCTTCCTATTTCTAACGTCGTTTTAAATTATAATTATAATAATACTATACCCTTTAATAAAAATCTGCTTATTTCCAACCTATACGTAATCACCAACATTTAATAGGGTAAAGTTTTTAAACCAATTAATTTTATTAAAAATATATATTATTATATTTAAATCGAAAATTATAAAATTTCTTAATAAATATATGGCGCCGTATTTCGTTATAAATACTAAAAAATTATTCTTACCTATCCAACGTCTATAGAATTAATTATTTTAATTTTTATTATCCCGCTACGTTCGCAAATAATTAACGGCCTTTTCAAGTATTTTATCCTTCTTTAAATTAGCAAACGCACGCTTCTTAATAATAGGATTTTCGACCTAACTTTTATAGGCTAACTATAACCTAGCGTAGTAGTATTTGTCTAAATTATGGCTTGGTTACTTATAGAATTTATATAGGTATCGTCGTAGTCGTTTATTCGTTAGTAGGGACGAAGAGAAAGTACGTTTATTCTTATTAGTATTCTTCCTAAACTTACCGTTCTTACTTATAGCTTCTCCTCATACCTCTACCTCCGAGCCAAAATTTTATTCGTCGCTAAAAACGTCTTTCTTAATGGGCTTACCACCTAACGTAACCGCAAACGTAGTACCCTTAAGTAGGGGAGTACAACCCTTTCCTTAAATAGTATTCGCTATTATTACTTTACGAAAATCTTTGGCTATAATATAGAAAGAGATTTTAAAATTAAAGTTTCTCTCAATTTCCTTATTATACTAAAACTAGTAATTATCTACCTAGGTGATATAAGGATTCGACCTTATAACTATATAGGATTCTAAGAATCATAGGTTTAATTTATCTATTCTAATAATTCCTCTAATAATATAGAGGGCTATAGCCGCTTCCTAATAAAAAATCTAATTATACTAGTTACAGTTAGCTTTATTAAAGAGCTTAAGAATATTAATAAATCCAACCCGGGCGAGCTTCTTTACCTTACGGTTATTAAAAGTAGTAGATTTACTAAGATTATTATACTACTCATATAGACTAATATATTTAATAAAATCAATCTCCTGGTAATTATTTCTAATAGTTTTAAATATCTAACGATTTAGTATAGTCTTTTTAATACTTATGTTAGAAAAGGTCTTAACCTCTATACGTTAGTCCGACTTTTTAATTATATAGTTATAATAGTCGCGCTTATAATAGAAGCCATAAAGTTTAGCGGTAATAGATAGGGCAGCTTCCCTATCCCTTTTAACTTCCTTAATTTCTTTAACGGGAACCTCCCCCTAATAGCTAGCAATATTGGGCTCTACAAACTCAATTGGCCAAGGCATATGGTTATTAGGATTAATATACTTCTAGAGATTAAGGTCTTAGGCTATAGAGATAAAAGCATCTTCCCAGGCCGGCCAGTCCTTAGGGCTATTGAGAGTAACGCTGTTGATCTTGGTCGTAGATATTGTTGGCAGTCGTTTAATCAGTTATTATTATTGACGATAGCTTCAATGATTAAATTAATAAGATTCTTAATTGTGATATTATAGGTAATAATCGATATGGGTTCAACGTGGCTTGATTGTGTGTATGTGTGTGTAAGACTGGCTCTGCAGACTAGAAGCTCTGGCATCTGGATAAATCCCGCATATCCCAGCCCAACTGGGCACGTGTACGCCCAGTGGATCCCCTGGCCTCTGACAGGCCACGGGCTCCATGTTTACAAGGAAGTGGGCAGGAACCCCGCGCTCCACTCCCCCGGCCGTGGCTCCTCCAACAGGGCTGGAGCTCCCTGCCGTGCTGCCCCTGCAGGCTGAGGAATGTGACCAGGATCCACCAGAGATGCACAAAACAGCAGGGGGGCTCAGCTGCAAGGCGCACCAAGAACGTGCCCGCCTTGCAGAGAACGTCAACGTCACCAGTGAGCCGCATTCCAATCATATCATGTCACTTTGTTGGCCGCGGGTGTCATTAATATCTTTGCTGAATCTTCTCGGGACCCTTAAACTTCATTTTTTCCGCTTTAGTCTCGCTTCGGCAGAGAGGCAGAGAGAGGCTCGACAAGGCACGAGAGGCTCCGCCACACACAACAACGTTAGCCCAAACCTGTGGAGCGTCGCGTCCGAAGTCTTTACACTAGTTCCGTCTTCCGAGGACGGGAGCGGCAAAGAGTCCCAAGCTGGTGTTGATCCTTTGACATGCCGAAATCGACTTCTATTGGCCGTTGGATTTTTCTTGGAAACGAGGCAGTGCAGGTTCCAAATCTTTCCGAGCGTCTCCTCGACGAGTCGGTTGGAACCGCAACGCGCGGCCAGGCTATTTGAAACGGACTTTCAGGGAGAATCTTGCTAGAAAGCGAGTCATATATCGATCACCAACGAGCAGATGTTGTGAAGGTTTGTCGGGCACGGAATTGGCAACGGCGCAGTTTGTATAATTGCGGATCCTAAATATGTAGTTGCAGCCACTAAGGGATTGGAATCCACAACTATGATTGGCTAATTGGGTGTTACTTACACGCCGTTGCCTTGTTCTTTCAGGTCTTCAGGGGTTCGAGCCTCGCCAGACTGCTTGCGTATCCCAGCGGCGCAGTCTGGATTCACAAAATTTATACAAGGCTTATTTCCAAACAAAGACAACTCCAGCCTAGCTTACAGTCGAGAGGGCAGTGCCATTCTTTCTGAAGCGACGTCGCGAACTAGGTCGGAGTGTCCTGAGCAACTCCTATGCTCTTTGTGCCCTCGAGAACCATGGATGCTGAGACACTGGCGTACTCGATCAAAAGGGTCACCACACAACGAGTAGAGAACAATATGTTTTATTCGCTGAAAAATTCCATAGATATTTTTGCCCCGTTTTGCGCTCCTAGCTAGACCCCGAGGGACCACCGTGCCCTCCCCTTCCAGTTCCTCCGTCTAATAAGAGTTTCGGTTTTATGTAGTTCTCGTCGAACTGCCTAAACAGTGCCGATGGATCTTCGCTGCTAAAGAGCTGTCGAATAGCAGCTGTGGCACTAAGACCTTGACCACCTTCGTTGTTAGAAGTTGATCGATTCCACCCGCTGCCACGCTCGCCAGGTCCGGCTTCAAGATCAGCATCTCCACCTCCCGGTATCGGACTCGGTCTCCTTCTGGGAGCTGGTGGTGGCAAATCTGATGTGTCGATGTCACTACCAATCTCCGAGTCTGTGTTGTTCCCTGAGACACCCAGCAAATCCACCCTCTCAAGGTCGTTGCCGTTCTTGACATCGAGACGGCTCGACTGTCTTCTTGGCATGGGATTTGGGGACCGATGTCCAGAAGCCCACCCGCTCCTGCCACCAGGACTTCCGTTCCTCTCCGAATCGAGGTTCCCCAGTGGCACCGTTGAGCCTCGACGAGGGGCGCTGAACCCGATGCCCGTGCCTGACCGTTTGTGCCAAGTCCCGCCGTGGATGGCTTCGATGTCGAACTCGTCGTCCGAGTCAATTTCCTCAACCACACCAGTCTTGATCTCCAGAATCTCCAACATGCGGGCGGTAGTTCCACCGAAAATGATGACGGTGAGCACAACGACGACAAGCACGGTCGCTTGCAAGGCAAACCTACTTTTGCCAGTGAACGCCGCGGCAAGAGCCACACCAACGGCACCGCGCAAGCCTGCCCAGAAGAGCATCGCTTGATAATTGTAAGGCAATACATCAGCAGCATCCCTGCCATGGCGCCGAGCCCTGTATCGGATAAACCAGTTGATGAGTCGCGACAGGGGGAAAACTGCCAGCCACCTTGCTGCGCATACCGATAGTACAGTTACGATGATCAGAAGAGGCTGATACACCAAATTTTTCTCCGTAAATAATGACAAACCGAGATAGATGAAGATGAAGTTTTCGGATAACTGCGCAAGGACTTGGAAAAAGAACTTGGTGGTCAGCTGAGTCCGGCGTGACATGTTGAAATAGGCATAATGCTTTAGTGTGATGCCGCAGAAGAGCAGCGATACAATGCCTGTTGCAGTGTTAGAACTTGTCCTTGGAAGATGTGAATAAGGAGGAGCAGGTCTTACCGGACATTTGGATGGCCTGTGAAAAGAAATAGGTCGAGTACGCAATCAGAACAATCATGCAGCTCTCCATCTTAGGATACCGCCTAAGGTAGGTAAACTTGAGGAGTACGGCAGCCAATATGCCAACAACAGATCCAATTGCCAAGCTGCCGAAAAACTCCTTCAAGAAATACCAAATACCATGGATGATACTGACTACGCCGATTCGCTGTCCGTTTCCTTCCGCATGTTGCGCCGACTCGAAAATAACAATGGCAATGGCATCGTTCAAGATCGACTCGCCAAAGATAACCGTGTACAGCTGCGGGTCAACCTTGAAGGAGTTGAAGATGGCCAAAATCGTGACGGGATCCGTGGCAGACAAAGACGCACCAACTTGAATTGCCTCTCTAAAGGTCACCTCCAGCCCTTCGAGCGGGATCCTGGTATATAACCATAGTAGCACACCGATGACGACAGCCGATATGGCGGTGCCGGCAAAAGCAAACGTCAGGATCGTGCCAATATTTCGAAAGAAGTTCGCCTGGTGTAGTTCGTAGCCGGACGAGAGGATAATCGGAGGTAGCAGAAGGTTGAAGAAGATTTGCGGACTGAAACTAAGCAAGCTTTGGATGTTGTCGCTGCCGGAGATTCGGATGACAAGGCCAACGACCATACCTGGTAAAGGTCCGTGTCAGTGGGAGTATGGCAATAGCAGGTGTGGGAGTAGCATCCTTACCGGCAAAAATGGAGACAACGGTTTCGTGGACAGCCTGAATCTTCCTCTCCTGCATGATATAACTCGTAAAGAAGGCAGTCATGAGAAGCAGGATGAAGATGAAGATGGCCATTGCAGAGTACATCTCCTGCTTTGTCGGGTTGTCGGCTGTTGTTGCATCTCGTTAGCCTCTGTAGATGCGCTGCACATGGAGAGGTGGTTTGGCCTACCACCAGGATCTTCTTCATCTCTCTCTGGACACAGTTACGTTAGCATTGATTCGTAGGAGCCAAATTGGCGCAAACAGAAGGGTTATACATACTTGCGAGCTCCGCCAGGGAGCCAGCAATCACCTCGGAGAGCATGGCGAGGTTGTAGTTGTGTTTTGTATGGCGGCACTGGCGATTTCGAGCCTGGCGCAAAGTGTTGCTTGGACTGAGGCGTGTCGGGGAAAGAAGCAAATGTAGCTCGGCGGAGAGCAGCGGCGAAGATTCTGCGAAACCATGAAAGCTCTAACCGATTGTGGATGTGGAAATGACGACTGTCCGGGTCGATTGTGTTGACATCAGACCTTATTCCTTCGAATGCCGGTCCAGATGTTGTTGATGTTTGTCAAAGTCGCCAGGTTGGAGTTTGGACAGATTGGATTGCGTTATCGTTTGGGAGAAGGCGGGAACAAGGCTGGTCTTTTGTCAGGCTGGTGCATAGCGGGGCAGGGACCTGGGGGCCTGTGCTTGGCAAAGAAGACAGCTTTCTTGATTGGACACTTGGCAATCGGCGTCTGATCACTGATCCCCGCAATCACATCCTCGAGGTCACAAGTGGAGCTGTCCAGGAACGGGATGGAATATTTTGATCCATTGTTCATTGCTCCAAGAGATGTATTCCTTCAATTTCGCGACTTATGGTTACCTATGTAGATTTCGAGGAGTGAAAACCTGTACCGAAAAAGGGGAACTTAATCAATGAATAAATTTATGGCGGACTTCCAAGGAAAAACGCTCGAATGTTTGTCACATCCAGTTATTTGCAAGGGTTCAGTTGAGGAAGTCTTCACGTCGTGAAGAGCGAAAACAGAAAACACAACATCTGCACCGAAAATCAATGCTCGAAGGGGTTAAATCGGAGACATCAAATGTTATGAAACGCGCAGAGACTTACCCAATGTAGTTCGAATTTTCTGTAGAGGGCCTTTGGTCAAGAGCACAACTTATCGACATGTCTGGCCTCAGCTCCAACCCACCTATAAAAGTGATCAATCGTAGCCGGTGTCTATGAATCGCTGCGTGACCACTACCACCACCACTTGATCAGAGGCTGCCTGGGCTGAGCTTGGATGTCAAGAGCACACATGTGGTCCGTTTAAGGTGTCAGGAGGTTTCTTCTAAACACGAGTAAAGTCAAACAGGGAAGCTCTGGGGTGTAAATTCACCATGACATGAACATCGAAACCCCAACCCAGTCTTGGAGTCTCCACATGGTGCCGGTCCACACTCCTGGTCCGGGGTTGCCAGAGCGTGACAGCTCTTGCTGGGGATTTCCCCGCAACCTTTAAAATTTGAAGACTCCAGACAACATCGAGATGCATTCCCCGGCCAAAGCGACTTGTGATGGGACTCACGACGGAAGACTGCCAGAACTGCCTGCACACATGCAAGATCGCCCCTGCCAAAGTCGCCTCCGCTAGCCCTGGATATACAGTTCTCGCCTCAGCTCAGCGGCGCAAAGACAATCGAGAACAAATCGAAGCCTCCCGCTGCCCTCCACTGCCTGGACCGTTCGCTTCTGCTTCGTTAGAGATAAAACATTCACAGTCCCTGCAGGATATGCACATCGGGCGCATGTATTACCGCCTCGTGCTTTTGTCTTGGACTGCTATTCGTCCGAGATAGAGAGCACAGCCCGCTTTTGACACAGCACTGTCCGAATAAGCGATTTTTGGTATAGTAGACAACGGCTTGCAAATAAAACATCGACTCCTAAACTGACCATCTGTTTGTTACACCAGCTCATTACCATGCGTCGATCCGGTACATATTGCTGATATCTAACAACAACAACTGAACTCAAGCACGCCCACATTCAAGCCCATGTCAACTCTTACTCCGACTGCAGATTGAGGCCATTGTTGAAACTACTCTGGCTTGCGTGCGTACGCAACGCGAGTCGTGTACATGCCGTGGATTCTGGTGTCCTTCAGCTCTCTCCTCAACGCGGCACAATAAGTGCTGATTTCCTCTGGGGTCCAGCCCAGCACGAGGCCCCAGATATAATTGACGTATCCTTCAAGGTCCGATTCCACCGCCACCTTGGCCCAGATTCCCAATTCCTGCTTTGTCTTGTCTCTGGGCCAAGCGCCAACAGGCACCAGGATGTCCTTGATGACAATATCAACGAAGCCAGCCTTCTCCATGCACTTTCGGTGGATGTCATCTTCGACAATCTTGAAGGTTCTTCCGAATTTGTTTCCGCCCTCAAAAAAGACCTTCCCCCACTGGTCAAGGGCACTGCCCTCCTCCACGGTTCCATCCAGGCTGAAAACCTTGACGGAGTTGGCGACATCCTCAACATAACCGCCCGGCGTGCAGCAACGGAAAGCCTGGCGATAGAACTCCTCCCAATCCTGTACAACGCCAATCAAACTGCGTGAATGGATGTAATCGAAGGTGTTGTCGGGCCAGGTCCATTCACGGTTCAAGTCATCGATTTCGAACTTGACATTGGCGGGAACCCAGGTAGGCTGAATGGGCGAGACGTCAGTGCCGATCACTTCGGCGTCAGGGAACTCGTCGGCAAAGTCGATAGCCCAAATGCCTGTGCCAGTTCCAATGTCGACGGCCTTCTGGATTTTCTTTGGAAGTGGGGCGGTATACAGCTTTCCGGAGGATGAGGGTGTTCAAGTGATGGAAAATGTCCATCGCTTCGGCATGACGCACGTCATTGGGCTGCCATGCTTCAGCATTGCCAACGTCGCTGTGATACGTTCTTCCGAGAATGTTGCGATACTCAAAGATGCTCTGTGAGAGGGAAGCGGTGCTGGAGAGAACGGAGCCGATGGTGGAGGCGGTATCGTCCGTATCGTCGGCGGTATCTTCCCCTTGTGCTTGTTGCCAATGCGAAGCTGGCAGAATGCCCAAGTTGCCTGCGGCTTCAGCAGTGAGCGGGGCCGAGATCGGGACTGGCGGCCCCCCTGCCGCCGCCGCCGCCGCCGGTGGTGAGGCGGGAGCCGGCGTTGCCTTCTTAGCTTTGGGACTGGCGACCATGCTTGCGATATTGGGTGTTGGGGGGGGGGGGGGGGGGGGGGGTAAGATAACGGATCGAAGTTCTAGTTGAGGTCGTCTAGGCAAGGCAACAACGATGAAGCAGCTTGACGGGGAGACTGGTTATCTCTGGCAGATGCTGTCCTTTTATGGCCCGAAGGTCAATCCCCTGTAAACAAGGGTTCTGAGGCCCTATCCCTCATACAGAAGCTGATTCAATATACGGTTGCGTTGGCGGTTGCTACGCTGCAGGTAAGTCGGTTAAGATAATGTGTGCCATCATGAGCTTTGCAAACTTTCTTGAAGAAACGTATGATCATTGTGAATCTAGACCCGCGACGAACCGAAAGTAGTAGGACTGAGAGGACGGGAAAAAAGCAGCAGGGGACATCCAAACCGGCTCTTTATCTGAATCGATAAGTATGAGCTTCTGGCGTTGCTTTTGTGGGTTATGACTGTGGTATGGACGATCGCATTCGACGACAACTCTGGTGATGTCTGCTGTTGTTGCGGACTTCATTGCCAAGCAGGCGACGTGGGCGTTTACATCTAGAGCGTAGTGTCTTTAATTACTGTGCCTCCGCTGCGTTGCGGGTCACTGCAGCAACTTTGAGCTCAAACACTTCTGATGGGAAAAGGGATACAACAAGATGACATTCATATTCGATATGCCGGTCCGGCAGAGACTTCAGCCAGTCTCCCCGTGTCCCATCCGTGCTTATAAGATCAGAGGGGCAACATTTCGAATATCTGAGTCTCTTTTTTATGCCGAGTTCAGCCCGGGATTGTTGAAGGGCCCCTGCACAACCTTGTGCAGGGAAATCGGGGTCTGAAAACAGGTCCCAGTAAGTGCCCAGTGAGACATTTGGGGGTGCGCCAATCTGTTTCGCGCGCGAGGTGCGTATGAGGGTCATAAGCCCAAAAAAGTCTGTTTTGGCCAAAAACAGCTTATTTTGAGAAAGTCTAAAAAGAGCTTTAGAACTTTTCGTTCAAACAGGGAAAAACGGAAAAAAGGCGCTGCATTTGGGCAAATATATGGTGTATTTTGGTCAAATTATGACTTTGAGACACAGATACTAATAACACCGCCATGACCTTTGGAATTGGGCGTTATCATCATTGACTAAAATCGTTCGATAAATTGAATAGTTCGATCCGTTTTCTTCTAGTGTTGGCCCTGAAGAAGTTGGGTTTTGGGGATAACGATCAAAGAAAAATGTCTGATTAGGTCAAAATCCCTGTTTGAAGTCTCAATCTTTTTACTTGCTGACCCCAATACGCACCTCGCGAAGCGAACAGTCTTTTTGGGGTCTGTTTTCAGACCCCCTTTTCCCTGTAAGGAATCTCTCGCGTGTCTCATCGGTTTGGCTGTGCTCCCCCAGCCTTGTAATTGTTAGTGCATCCGTCTCATAGTCTAGTCCTCGTTTGAGTCTCTTGACCCTTCCTCCTGTCCGACCTTGGGCCTGCGACTGCCCTCATTCAGCGAGTTGAGGATTCGCAGCAATCGATCCAATCGAATCACGACGGTCTCGTGGCATTCGTTGACTTGCCCGCGTGACGATTACGGACAAGCGACAAGCTCGCCTGAGCACCGAGCTGTGTGATGCTATCGTTTGCTTATTACATAACATCCGGATCAGCCCTTGTCCATTTTCATCACTTCAGTGCACTTCAGATTCGCCTTTTACGTTTGTTTGAACGAATTGCATGTTGGGTTTTGGTGGGGCAGCAGCAGCTTCAACAAGGGCATCTCGATATCACTGGCGAATCGCTCGCTAGGCACTGGGCCGTGGTGGTGTAATCCGCACTATTCCTTGCCTCCTCTAACAAACACTAACACACCAACTTCTCTCCTCCTACAGACGACCTACATAACCATCCCAACAACCCAATCCCGACCCAACTGCGCATCGCAACAAAACACTTCTTCCCAGCAGCTCAACGCAGAGGGAGTCGTCAACACTCTATCCCTAGCCGTTACAAAGGCATCCGTTGCGCGCGATCGAGAGACGCAGGTCACCCAAAGGCATCGATAGCCCGCATCTCCGCATGACGTCGTCATTAGCAGAGCATCCAGACCGGGCCCGCCCCGCAGGCAACGAAGGCCATCAACAACAATCGCAACCCAAACCTGGTCGCGAAGAGCCGGCAGCACGCCTCAGTACCGGTCGTCGTGACTTTGCGAGCGATAATACCAACCAGCAATTCTTCCTCGGCGAACAGTCGCCACTGCTCTCTCCAGTCGATAACCAGGATGGCTCCTCCAGCGACCAGGGTGCCGACTCGGCCGACGAGTTCCAAACCACAAAGAGCGTATGGTATATGATCCTTTTGACCATCAGCATCGGCGGCCTGCAGATTGCGTGGTCGGTTGAGATGTCCAATGGATCTCCATACCTGCTCTCTCTCGGCATCAGCAAGTCTATGATGGCTTTGGTTTGGATTGCTGGTCCTCTCTCGGGCACCTTGGTGCAACCATACGTCGGCATGATGAGTGACAACTGTCGCATTCGCTGGGGCAAGCGCAAGCCCTTCATGCTTGGAGGTGCTGCCGCCACCATTGTCTCGCTGATGTGCCTTGCCTGGACCCGAGAGATTGTTACTGGCATTCTCGGGCTCTTTGGTGCCGACCCTCAGTCCGAAGGCGTCAAGTTTTGTATCATTTGCACCGCCGTGCTCTGGATCTATATCCTTGATTTCGCCATCAATACTGGTATGACCATCACGATTGGCAAACTGAGTGTACATGCCCTGCTAACCTGTCAATTCTAGTCCAAGCAGCGATCCGCGCCTTCATTGTAGACTGCGCACCCACCCACCAGCAAGGTACGTACTCCCGCGATAATACCCCAAGGCATCGACGCTATCGATTACTAACGTCTTGAAGAGATGGCAAATGCTATGGCAAGCAGGTTCGTAGGTATCGGCAATATTTGCGGTTATCTCGCCGGATACGCCAATCTCGCCCCGGTCTTTTGGTGGCTTGGAGATAGCCAGTTCAAGGAGCTCTGTGGTATTGCCAGCCTTGCCCTTGGTACTACCGTCCTCATGACTTGCCTTTTCATCAAAGAGAGGGATCCAAGACTTGAGGGACCTCCAGCAAAGGATAAGCCTGGGGTGGTTGCCTTCTTCAAGAAGATTTTCACATCGATCAAACGCCTGCCGCCACAAACCAAGAAAGTCTGCCAAGTCCAGTTTTGTGCCTGGATCGGTTTCTTCCCCATGCTCTTCTATACCTCATCGTACATTGGAGAGATCTACGCTGAGCCATATCTCGAGGAAAATCCGAATATGACTGATAAGGAGCTCGACGAGCTGTACGAAAGGGCAACACAGGTTGGCACGTTTGCCTTGCTCATTTTCGCCATTACCAGTCTGGCCACAAACGTCTTCCTGCCATTCTTTATCGCACCAACCTACGACCAACCAGCGGTTACGGCCGATGCCCCTGCCGAGGCTCCTTCAGTAATTAAGGATTACGAGCCCGAACAGAGGTCATGGACCCATCATCTGATCATCCCCGGATTCACGCTCCGTCGTGCCTGGATGTTTTCGCAAATACTGTTCACCTGCAGTATGCTTTGCACCGTCTTCGTACGAACCGTTACAGCAGCTACCGTTCTCATTGGTCTGGTTGGCATCACCTGGGCTTTGACTTTATGGGCGCCCTGGGCAATCATTAGCGCTGAAATATCTCGGCGTGACGAGGAACGGCGGTCTCAGCAACAGCGCCTTTCACCTAGTCGCCTTGACGCCCTGGACGGGTACTCATCCGATGACAATCAAGACAGCGACCTGGGCAAAGATGAGGAAGAAGCAGCAGATCAGGCCGGCGTGATCCTCGGTATTCACAACATGGCAATTGCCGCACCGCAGATCATTGCTACGGTGGCAAGCAGCATCATCTTCCGCCTCTTTCAGAAACCTCGAGGAACGCCCGGTGACCACAGTATTGCCATTGTCTTGGCGCTCGGCGGTATCACAGTCTTGATCTCGGCCCTCTTCATTCATCGTATCCGGGACGAGCCTACTGTTACTTATGACGAAATCAGTGCGGTAGAGGAAGGAGATGCCGCTCCGAGACCGAGCGTACATAGTCGAAGCCGCTCCTTCGATCAACCTCCACGAGCGAGCCTCGAACGCGCAACCCTTGTCCGGAATAAGAGCTTCGGTGGCATGGAGTACTAAAAGCCTGCCATGCACATTCAACCTTTGGAACACGAACTTGACCTCGGCTCTTTCTCGATACCTCGGGGGTATAGACCATTGGATACAGACCATACGCTAAAGTGGGCAACCAAACCTTCAGAAGAGCGGGGCATTATGGGAAGATGCAGTGAGTTGGGTTTTTTTAATCGTTTATTTGGGATCTTTAGTTTTGTAGCCTGGGTAATGGTTCATCAGCGCCGCGCACTGTTCATCTAAAGACACTCGGTCACTCAACGTTATCGCGGTGTCTCGGTATGACTTTCCCCTTTACGGATTCTTGGGGTGATATCTTTAGAACAGTATTCCTTCCTCAGGAACTAGTTTAGACAGTGGTCTAGGGTTAATACAGGAAAGTATCACACTTGTCACGCTTCCCGAGGTAAAATCGCGAGGTTGTCAAATCCAAAACGATCCAAGGCATTCTAGGACACTGACCCGGATCTGATCAAGCAGTCAAGGTCATCAATCACGCAACGGCTGAGAGTTTTCACAGAGCCTCCAATAGGCTCATAGTCAGCCCCGTGTGTTTGATGCCGCGGGAGAGATACATACAGGCTAAACTCCGAGGACATCGATCCCGCTCATCAATATCGAATGTACATACAAGATCGGAGGCTGTCGTCCGTAATTTGCACTCCAACTCTGTGCGTGATCTGTTCTTCCTCCAGTAACGGACCGTTGTCCCCTCTCCCAGATTGCTGTTTGATACATCCTGCTCCGAGAAGATGCAACTTAATTATTACCATATGCATAGGTAGTCTCTATGAACGCGGGTCCGAGATACAATAGGCATTAGAAATCCCTCCCATACCCATCATCCCAAGAGGTATTTAAACATCGTTACGTACGCGTCCCTTCAACGTCCATACCTCCCCTAAGTACCCTTCGACCCCATTTCCCCCTTCATTTCACACCCCCAACACCACCGCAAAAAAATGAAAACAACAACCCTCCTAGCCGCCGCTCTCGTCAGCCTCCCCTTTTACCCAAGCCACCCTCCTCTGGGACGGCCGCTTCAACGACTTCACCTCCGCCGCCGACCTCAACAAATGGTCCTGGTCAAACCAAGTCGGGCCCTACCAGTACTACATCCACGGCTCCTCGCCCGTCGACAAGTATATTTCCCTCTCCGAGACCTTCAAAAACCCCAACGACACGCGCTCCCGCCAGGGCGCCCGGTTCACGCTCGATTCAACGGCGTACTGGAACGGGCAGAACATGCGCCGCATAGAACTCATCCCGCAGACCAAGGAAGCCACCATCAACAAGGGCAAAGTGTTTTATCATTTTTCGATTATGATGAGGAGTGATAAAAACCCGCCGAGCGTGAATAGGGAACATCAGATTTGTTTCTTTGAGAATCACTTTACCGAGTTGAAGAGTGGATGGATCTCGGGGGAGTCCGGGGGGACGGGGAATGTCAATTTGCAGTGGATGACGAATAGTCAGAGGAGTGGGTGGAAGACGGAGTGGAGGGCGGGGGTTTGGCATAATGTTGCTTATGAGATTGTAAGTCTTTTTTTTTTTTTTTTTGTTCTTTCTCTTCTCTCGGCGGCTGGCTTTTTTCTGGTTTTCCTGATTTTTGTTTGTCCGTGTTGGGTTGAACGGAAAGTCATACATGTGGAGGATAGGGTAACTGATTTGCCACGATACTATACAGGACTTCAGCGCCAACAAGGTCGGTTTGTGGCACTCCGAGGGTGGCGAGCCTCTGAAGCAGGTCGTCGCTCCTGTCTCGGTTTCGACTTCGTCTAACGGCGCGGACTGGCACTTGGGCGTCCTGGAGCTGCCGAGGAACGGGTATAGTGATACTACAGAGGACTTCTACTTTTCTGGCGTGTACATTGAGACTGGTCCGATCACTACTGCTATTGGTGGTCCTTGAAGAAGGGAATAAGAGTAGGGATGTGAGGGAGTTGATGGGGATGAGAACGGCGGGAGTGATGGGTAAAGAGACCGAGTTCATTCTATTGCAGGTTGTTTAGTCAGAGACTGACTAGATACTGTCTTTAAAAGTTCGGCAGCCAAACAGGCTAAGAAAATGTAGTTCTCTCCCAGACTCCTTTGGTATAAAGCAATAAGAAACTCGGCCGCATATTAAGCAAGACTGTCACTTGCTACTTTTACCACCACAGAGGCCTCTGCTCCTTCCTCTTCTATACTTGTAAGATAAAGAGCCACTTCCTTCGAGGCAAGCAACGAAGTCAACATGCAAAGCGATTCGCTCCTCCCTCCAACCTGTCTCCCCATGTCTCACATCCACAAACCACATCCACAAACCACATCCACAAACCTCATGAGTATGCTCACCTCGCCCACCCCTTCTGCGCCCTCGGGCCCGCAGTGCTCTTATTCCTCGCCCCCTCCAACATATTCTTAAACTCCCTAAACAGCGCCTTAACCGTGCCATTCGCCTCCCACTCCTCCACAACTTTAGCGACTAGCTTGTACTTCTTTTTTGTTGTTCTCTTCTTACGCTGCTCCTTGGTTTCACCTTCCCGCTTCTTGGCGATAGCAGCAGCAGCGGCCAGGTGTCCGTCTTCCGATAGACGGGTGTCGACCCAGTCGAGCAAGGCGTACTGCCAGTGCAGCAGGTTGTGCGCCGTCTCGGCGTTGGAGTGGCACACGGAGCCAATCTTCCATGTTCGAGAGGCGGCGGGGATGGTGTTGCCGTCGGCGTCGTACTCGTCGGGGTCGTCACCTTCGTCGTCAGGGGATGGAGAGGGGGAGGTGTTGCCGGGGACGGGTTCGAGGAATTTGGGATGGGAGAAATCTTTGTAGTAGGGGGAACCGGAGAAGGTGATTTCGAATCTGGGGGGTGGGGAGGTTAGTTAGTTTCGAGTAGGATATTGGAGGGAAAAGGAAGAAGCTTACTTGGCAGGATGTCCACTCCTTCCGCACGCCGCGCAGTTACTGGAAAAGAGACTCTGCTCATGCGTCTCACCACTAGTGTAATAAGGTCGGGCCCTCAACGCCATGTAAAAGTCCGTCTTCCACGCTGACGAAGCGAACTTGCTCTGGGCCAAGCCACGGACCTCGTCATCGAGCTTCCTCCAGCCGAGTCTGTACAGCCCGGCAGTCTTCTCCGGGAAGTTGAGGTGGACTTTGTAATGGACCAGCCACTCGACGACGTCACGGAAGTGTTCCTTGAGCGGCTTATGCGCGTGTCTGGTGAACTCAAGCGGGATACCAACCTCATCAGGCGCGCCGATGGGGGCGTCGGAGTCGTCTTCAGAGATGAAATCCTGCATCTCTTCGTCCTCGTAGGAACCACCCGCGTTGCCCTTTCGTTCGTCGTTGTCTCCGGTATCCTCCGAGTCGGGAGAGATCTCTCTTCGCTTCTTGCCCTTCTTGTCTTTTTTGTTGGTCTTCTTATCCTTCGTCTCCTTCTTTCCCTTCCCTTTATTTTCCTTCCCCCCCTTGACGGCCTCTTCCTCGTCCGTTTCCTCATCTTCGAACTCTGAAAGAGCGGGATTATCAGAATCCGTGTCGTAGTAGCCCCTCTTAGGCAGCTCGACTTCCGATTCCTCATCTTCCTCCTCATTCTCCAAGTCGTCGATAGGCTCGCCCGCCCGTTTGCGCCTCAGCAGCTCTCTCGCCTTCTCCTTCTCCGTCATGGGCTTTTTGGCACGACGTTTGGCTCTAACGGGTTGTGATTCCGTCGACGATGTAGCAGCAGATGAGCCAGGGCCTGTACCGGTAGCGGCCTTTTGTCTGCCCTTGCCCAAACGACGAGGCTTCTTATCCTCCTCATCCTTCTCCTCATCTTTCTTTGCCTCAGATGTATCAGACTCCTCTTCCCCCTTAGCCGAGCTCGCCGAAGATGGATTTCCCTTCCTAATCAGCCGTCGCTTCTTAGCCGGGCTCGACTCCAACTTCTCTCCACCGCGTCTCGTCGTCCTTCTCCTAACCGCCGACGACAAAATTCTGTCAGAGTCCGAGTCATCATCTTCCTCATCTGCATTCTTTCCCTTGCCATTCCCCTCAATCTTCCCCTCATCCCCATCTCCATCCCCATCCTCCTCACCATCCGTCAAAACCGTTATCTGCCTCTTCACACCTCTAGTACGCTGAGTCAACAACGGCATGCCATCCTCTTCATCCTCCTCATCCAGCACAATAACCTCCTTCTGAGCTTTCTGAGCACCAGAAGCAGAGCCACCAGTAGCGCGGGGGTTATGAGTTACCGTCACCACAGCCTGCGAAGAAAACACAGGCAAGTCATCATACTCAAACGCGGCTCCACCATACTCCTCCGCCTCGGAAGCCGAGTCGGAGTCGTCGATGACAATCGTACGCTTCTTGGCCTCGGCCGTGGAGATTTTGGGTATGAAAACCGCTGAGGAGGCGGGGAGTTGCCGGTCGGGGGATATGTCCTCCCGTTGTCGCTGTCGTGTCGGCGTGGGTGTCATCGTTGTGGCCGTGGTGGTTGGTGCGGCTGGGGAGCTGCCAGCCGCTGACGCTGAATCTTCTGGTTTTTTTACTTTCCCACTGCTGCGGGTAGATATTTTCTTGATCGTGGGCGGTTTGACTCTTGGTTGGCCTTGGGAGTTTTTGTTAGATTGAGATAAATGAGGTTGGTCAAATCCGTTGCGAGTGAGAAAAGTGCGAGTGAGGGAAGAATGATGGGGTGTGAATGGTTCGGAGGGGTAGAATTCAGTTGATGATTAACTCACCTAAAGCAGCCTCCAAGGTTTGTTGTTTCGGCTTTTTTGTCTTCTTTCCTGGTGGCATGGTTGCGGTTCTGGTTCTAGCCGTTGGTTTTGACGGTTGGGATAAAAGCGATGCGGAGGTCAAGGCGCAGGAAGCAAACGGAAGAGGACCCGTTCTAAAACTGAAAAATAAAATAAAAAAAATCGGCAAGGTTGCGAACCTGAGTGAATTCTGAATCGAAGATGACCTTTGATGTTTTATCTATCGATTTGAATCGGCGAGCTCGATTGACAATCGTCGACTAGGCAAAGTCGTTTGGCAGCAAGGTTGAGGATAGTGGACGAGGTGGAGGAGTCGAGCGAGGCGATTTGGAGAGCAAGCGCTTCGAGGTTTGAGGCAAAATACTGCAAGACACAGTCCCACGTGCAGTATCCCGATTCCTGCCTAAAAAAGCTGCACAGTTCATCCGAAGTCCGAAGTCAATCGGAAATGCGACGCGCTGATGAATGAAGCTCGCGTCGTACCATGACGAAAAAGTGGTGATGAGCGCGGGTTCACGTGTTTAAGCGGGGTATTTTGAGGATAAAGTGGTCTGTACCATTCACCACAACGGCCCCCAAATCACCAGTAACACCCAGACTAGAGATATATGTAGCATTGAGCTACGATATGTAATGATTCATTGTTATATGTTTTTACATTGGAGTGTTCTCTCCTTGAGAGTGGTCTATTGCTTTGCGCGTCATTAAAGCCCCCTCGTCCACATTTATTTTCGTACAGTTGATTGCCCTAACCAACCCCAACTCCAATGCCAATGTCATATTAAACGAGCAACCTTTGCAACATGCCTTGCTCATTCGGCTTGTCTTCCCAGGCTTTCCCGTCCCGTTGCTTCCTCTTCAAAGTTTTAAACATTAGGCCCATCCCTGGCATGTCTTCATTAAACCCCATGAAAATCCTGCCATTAGCAGAAAAGAAAAGAGAGATGTCAATCGACATCCTCATGCAGCCCAAAGGGCAAAGAAGATTCCCAGGAGGAGGCACATGGTTAATGTAGCCTAGCCGCCTAGTACTATATATACAACGGCACCGGTCTTCTCAAATGAGTATCAGGCGCCACACACGATCGTCCAAACGAGCGCTTTACCTCAGTGGCCGCTTAGCGTCCTCAACACCACGTGCAATGACGTCCTCCAGCTTCCACCTAGGTGGCTTGATGAGAGCCTGGCCCTTAGCCTTGATGTACTCCTTCTCCATCTCGTGGGTAACACCTGCAGGCAAAGGCTCCAGACCTCCCGCGACACCGGTAGAGAACTTGATCTGGAGGATATCACCCACTTCGTCGCAGGCAGCAAGGAGGCGATCAAGATCGTCCTTGTTGTGTGCAGCAGATACGCAAAAGCGGGCACGAGAGCTGATGAGAGGTGTAGCGGGATATCCAACGACGACGACCGAGATCTTGCGCTTCAGCATTTCATGACTGAAAGCAGAAATCTTGCCAGGGTTGTAAAGCATGACGGGAATAATAGGGGAGTCATCGTGGCCGTAAACAATGAAGCCAAGACGCTTGAGACCGAGACGGAGATAGCGAGAGTTGAAGGCAATGCGCTGAAGACGCTCCTCGCCTTGACCGGGAACAAGCTCGCCCTCAATGATCTTGAGCGAAGCGAGAATCTGCATCAGGACAGCAGGAGCAGGCGATTCACCAAGGAGGGTAGCGGCATTGGTAGCCTTGAGCTTATCGATGATGTGCTTCTCGGCCGCAACGTAACCGCCATTAGCACCGAAAGACTTGGTCAGAGTTCCCATGAGAATGTCGACTTCAGCAGGATCAACATTGAAGTAATCGCAGACACCACGGCCGTTGGCGCCAACAGCACCGATACTGTGAGCCTCATCGATATAGAGGAAGAACTTGTACTTCTTCTTGAGAGCCAAAATACCGGGCAGATCGCACATGGTTCCCTCCATCGAGTAGAGACCTTCGATAGCGACAAGGATCTTCTTCCAAGGGCGGTGAGTGCGGGGCTGACCCTGAGCAATAGCCTCACGAAGCAGCTTCTCGAGATCCTCCATATTGTTGTGCTTGAACGACCTGATAACAGCTCCAGAAAGACGGGCACCGATACGAATAGAGGCGTGGTTGAGCTCATCAGAAATAAGGAGATCACCCTTGGAGACGAGCGCAGGGAAGGAACCAGCGTTGGTGACAAAGCCCATCGAGAAAACCATGGCAGCGGGCTTGCCAACGAACTTTGCGATTTCGCTTTCAACCTCGAGAGCGAGATCAGAAGTACCAGCATCCGCGCGAGGGCTGCAGCCGCTGAGGCCGTACTTGCGAACGCACTCCTCGACGGCATCGGCGCAAGGGCCAACGGACTGGGCGAAGCCAAGATAGTTGTACGAGCTCATGTTCAGGGTCTCGGTGCAGGTACCGGTGTACTGGTAGTTGCGATTGAAGTCATCAGACTTGCGGTCAAGGAGAGTGATGTAGCGGCCAGGGACGCCAGTGGTGGGTCTGGCGAAGCAGTCGTCGATGCGCATCTTGAGTCTACGAACGTAGAAGTTGTCGAAATCGTCGTTCAGGGGTGCGTAGCCGTTCTGCGCCCGGAGTGCCTTGTAGTGGCTCTGGTCTCCGAATCTCTTGCCGAAAAAGTCGCGGGCGTGACCGAAGAAGATTAGGATAAGGTAGCTGAGATAAGTAGTCAGGACGTAATAGTATGGGGGCTCGTCTTCGACGGGAGGCTCGAGAGTGCTGCCATCGTGTGTGCTGATGTAGCGGTGGCTCTGGCTGTTCAAGGGACCGAACTGGGCCTCGGCGCGTTGGCGCTTGAGGGTCTCCTCGAGGGAGGGGGGCTGGAAAAGAGTGGTGGACTCATGGTGGTTGAGGTCCTCGGAGAGCGAAATGGAGGGCAGCGACAAAATGCCCGTCGCGGTACCGGAGCCCTGGTTCTGTTGCATGGCCTGGAGGGCCTGCTTTTCCGAGAGCTGATCCTTGTTCTTGGGCGAAGAGAAGAACTGGGCGATGCGGGTGGCTTTGGACAGAGACGGCCTCCGCTCAGCGGCCCTGTCAGGGTTCGGCATATTGGAGGAAGAGGAGGAGGAAAAGGGGTTGGTAATCCTTCGGGGCATGTCTAGGGCGCAAGTGAGGGCGCAACTAGGTGGTTGGATGCAAGCAGATGTCCGCCGCTTTTACGACGTGTAGGAGGTAGAGCGATGCGCAAATGCTAACTCCAACAGATACTGTAGTAGAGAGATATCAGCAAGGTGGCCTAGAAGGATTACTTGATAGTGAGACGGGCCGCGAGCGAAGCCAAGGGAGAAGACGAGTTATCGCAACAATTTGGGAATGATGGAGTTTCTGCTAACAACGAAGCAACTGGGATGCTGATATGCTGCTTTCGCATGCCAAACATCCGAGGGCCATGTCAAATGACGAGACGCAGGCAATTGCACAGCGCTGCCAATGCAGGTCCAATCGAGCTCCTTGCATGTGGTGGCGGCTCCCAGATACCAAGATGCTCTTGCGGGTGTACAGCAGTAGCAGCTTCCAGCCATTCCCGTCCATTCACCGCCCGGGTGCAACACCTATCCATCACCTTGGCTCGCGAGGGGAAGGGAGACAAGGAAGATGGAAAGCAGTATTCGGAACACTCACCTGCCCTATCATCCAAGACGTGTGTACAAGTACAACAGCCTCCGAGAGCAACGTACAAGGCGGCGACGAGGTCGAAAATCGGATCGAGCGATTGTTTTGGAGACAAAACGGCGGTCGCGATGGAACCTCTTGGGCGGTAGCGGTAGCGGTAGGCGGTGTTGGCGGGAAGAAACCAAAAGAGAGGGGAAGGTCGTCGCACTTGTCGTCGCAGTCGAGTGTCGCCCTTTACAACTCTGCTACACCCTCGCCCCTTGTTGATGTGCAGGACAGGTCACGGCTGTCTTGTCAACGGCCGTCTGGTGGTTTTGGATATTGAACAGGGCGAGGAGGGAAGAGTCGGGGGCGTCGGCTGTCTGAAAAGAGTGGACGAAGCAGAAGATTTCAATGAATTGCGGAAAGGGGCACAGGCTCACAGCAGCCCACCAAGTGATTCAAAGACAACCCACCACAGTCGGGCGACAACGGAAAGTCCACCACAGTCCACCGCATTCCCACCGCAGCCGTCCGAAATTGTGGAACCGATGGCGGACGGCCAATGAGGCGGCACCGCCAGCGAGCTGTTGACCCCGGAGCGGTGTTGCTTCCGTTGCTTCGCAGCCACACGTTAATTTGGCCAGTCACTGCGAGTCTGACAAGAGGGCACTACGGGGACACTACTACGGCGAGCACTAGCACGATTGGGGACTTCAGCTGTTGTCACAGCACCGAGCGCGTTATCCAGTCATGTACCGTGATACCCCTGGATCATGCGGCCGCTCCCTTGTGAGGTGTGTACTTTGGTACTGGTTGTCTGGATTTGTTAGCGCATCCAACCAAGTTCCTCCGTATCTCCCGAACACTCCGGATCGGTGGGATCGGTTGGTGGTCTTTGTGCTCGATGACGGGACTTTTTATCAATTGCTCGGACTCGTGCTTCTTGAAGCTGATAAAGTGTCGCTTGCTTGAAGCGTTTCTTTGTTACCTGGCTCACTGGCTACTACTCAAGCAGACTGTGATATAGAAGTCGACACTATCAAGAAAGTCCGGGTATAAAGCCGGCGTTATGGCTTGAGACGAGACACCAACGGCTCTCGGACTCGGGAACACTCCGATACTGTTGCGTTCCTGGGATGGGGATCGCCTCGAACCACTGCAGGCACCATTGACATGGACTTGTCCAGGCGCGACACATTGGCGGATGTGCCAATCACCAGCCGGCTTTGGTCCCGACTAGGCAAGGGACTCTTGAGTGTCTCGAGGTGTTGTGTACCATTGCCACCGAGCACTTCGGAAATGAAATGAAAGGGATCTCAGGGAAGAAACCCTAGGTATTCTTCGAACGGCAAACATCTTTACTCCCCATTTCCCACACGCCCAATTCAACGAATTTTTCTCCCGCTCGGCATCGCCTACTCTCGATCATCGATCTGTCTAGTGCCAGCAG